GTTAACTAAAGGGCTAATGATAACCATCAAGACGCCTGCCATTTGATATAAATAAAAAATATTACAACGCACGGTCCTATAACCCCTCAGGCAAGATATTGGAGTGTTTTAGATGCTTGGACATCTAATTCCGCTTTCTTCTACAACCAGACATTCCCAAAATTGAAGGAAAACGAAGATTTACACCTATTTTCGTCTAGTTTTTCTTGACAGCCAGGCTCTAATCGAACCCTCGAAATCCCAGAAGGCAACTCTCCCATTCCTATTTCACTTTCGACAATTGCGTTCAAATAGACTCAATTTAACGCTGTAACGAGCAGAGATTAGTCATCTACCTCCTAGTTATAAGTAAATAATTGAAATGCAGCTGGCTCAAATGCGAAAATGTGGAAGTTTAATGACTTTGGAGAAGTATCGATAAAACGATTGAGTGATCAATCGGTATTCCCTCGACGAATCCTCCAATATTCTTTTAAGACCCCCTCAAGAAAGCGGTTTTGACCCTTTACTTTGGAGTAGTGGTTAGCACTATAAAGTCTCCCTGGTAAGAAACCTATTTCCGGCACCTACGTGGTTGACCCCCAACTCACACTCGTGTTTTCTTCATGTAATGTCAATCTTGAGCGCGATATTCTGATATTTGTTGTTTCAATCACCCCCTACGTTTTATAAAACTTAAAGATACCTGAGACTGGAAACTCTTGCTGCTCGTGTTGCCCGTAGACAGCGCGACTGCAATGCTTTCAGCGAGCATTCACACATACTGTCAGCCACTTCGATTTTCCCTGTTTAATCCTAAGAAGGAGAAAATCTAGACACGCTTCATACATGAGGTCTTCTGCTTCATCCTTGACATCTCGGTCATAGCAGACTTGTCTATCTTGATTGGTGTGCCTTCATATTACTTCGCACGTGTTTATCCTAGTTTTCCTTGGTACGTAATGCCTCTAAAAAGGGTTAATAAAGGAGAAGTAGGAAGACTTCAAAAATTCCACGAATCACCCCTTTTGCGATTTATATCCATATGGCTATGTTTGCTTTTGTGGGGTGTGCGATAGACTTATCTCCACGTGGCGCAACCTGAGCAACGTATACTCATACGCCAAAAAAGTCTATCAACCTACAGTTGACTTCCGACTTCAAACTACCATGATCCCATTGTGTGTCATATTTGACCACTTTCACAGTACTCATCTTACCTTTTTTTTCCCTACCTTTGTGTCTGTCTGTGACTTTGGTGTTCCTCCCCTCTCATTTAGCTTGAAGTCAACTAAAGGCCTAATAGTAACTGTCATAAAGCCTGCTATTTGATATGAATAAATGTTTGCTCTTATCAGATAATGCCAAAATGTATGCTTTGCTTTTAACTAAATAGATCTCTCTCTTTCTCTCTCCTAGGTACGAAGTCTACTAGACAATAAGGAGGGCTTAGTACCACGAGCCTTCTTATCAATTGAGCCAACACCTCCACTCGCCCCACCACACCCTGTAATATCGTCGACCCTGACACATAATAAAGGAGGAGGTACTCCCGAGATAGATGTTCCCAAGAGCAACAACAGTGTGAACACCTCTACCGCACCACCGAATCTTCCTCCCTCTAACCCCACAGCATCACCTCGTAAGTTGAGTCCCCGTGGTATTGAGAAGTAACTATCTAAAAATGACTACAAGCCCTAACAAAGCGGCTTCCGGCCAAAATCAGGCGAGAAATGGGACCGAGAATGTAATATAAATGCTTGAAGTACTTGGCAAAAAGATTGTATCGGGCACGTTGCTGGTAAACTGGGAGAATCTACTGGTAGGAGAGTAGGTGTTAAGACTCGGAGTATCTCCAAGGCATCCCTCTTCGTTTTATGGATATGGTTCTGATTAAAAGATATTTAATTTCGCTACATTCAATCCCTCCCCCCCTTATTTCTTGGCTATTGAGCTACTTCTTTGATGGAGAGAGGAGAATCTCTATTTACCGAGTTTTATTCATTAGTCGACCTTTCTATACAAGTATATGATGATTAATGGCCTTCTCAATATGCATATACAAAGTTGCAATCACAATCCAATCATATTGGTTATTTCAGATCCCCCGATGGCTCAGGTCTTGGCAGGCCAATTTGTGCGTACTTTGATCGATTTTGATGGCAGTGCAGAGGATGAATTGAGTTTCCGTGTCGGTACGGTTATCCACGTTCTTGGTAGGCCAGCGGAAGGTGAAGTGGACGATGGTTGGATTGAAGGCGAACTAGTGCCTCTCTCTGATACTGATACTTCCCCTCCTCCCCGGGGTGTCTTTCCTTCCATGTTGGTGGAGCCTGTACCCGCAGAAGAGTCCTGGAGGAAACGTTTAAATGCTTGCTCAAGACTACGTTCGTCTTTTTTCATTAATTTATTGAGACTTCATACATATCACCTCCATATCCCAGAATGAGCTCATATGGCCCCCCCTTCTTCTTTAAATGATAAAAATCAACATTGTTCTGTTTAGAGCAAGGTAGAGTTATTGATTTATGATTTCGTGAGGAACTCAAGAGTGATACGTTATAATTGAGTCGCAAGTCTTTATCGCTGAATAGATACCGACTCAATACCGAGGTGAATAGGAACTTCAGTGCGAAAGTGAGTATTTTAGGTATACTGAGAATTCGGATGTTTGGATGTCATGCTGAATTTAACACCTCAAATCACCATTGATGGGTACCAGAATTAACCAGTGTGGCTGATTTATCCATTCTATTGGAAGTGCGTCAATGAATCTTGATCTATTGAACTCTCTGATTTGAAATACATTCGCTTTGATCTCTGCGCAATCGGCCCAGTCTGTTGGGCTTATTAGTTTAAAGACAAGCTGTTACCATAGAAAACCTACTAAGTTTCACGGAGATTTCCTACAAAATTAATTTATAATTAAAAGGTTGCTGCACGTTTGTCTTGAATTTTTTTCTTCTATTAAAATGTGAGCCTTGGCTATTACTTCCTCTTGTAGAATCGGCTAAGAACTTGCTATCGATTAGCATTGCTGCGGATGATAAGACTTCTCAGTGCGGTGAACGCCGACGCAAACCATCCTCTTCTTCTGGTGGTTCTGCCAGTCATTCCAGATCAAGTACGTCGCCTATTACTTCCCTTGCTGGTCAAAAATCGATAATACCCCCCCCCCCCACCCTATAATTATGCATGTCTGTATATCAAGCGTTTTCGAAGTCTATAACTTCTCTGAGTATATTTAGCGGTTATTTCGAGAAATATTTGATAAATCAATATGCGAAAAGTTTGTTTGGCGTTGATTGGTTAACTGAACTAAAATTAGGTCAATACCTCAGATATCCCATTTATTTTCAAAATCTTTCATTTTATCTTCATCAATGCAACGGGAAATGAGGCCTGGGGGTTGGTACATTGACCTATCAAAAAATCCATATCTAGTTGGCGATAATTAATATATTTGGCACGCCAGCTGCCTTCTTAAGGACGGAGCGATTTCAAATAATGCATCGACTCCCATATCTCCAAGTCTCTTCCGTTTTTAAAGCCATGACTATATTTAAGGTCCAATTAAGTTACAGCGTGTCCTGAAGAGGGTATAGGGAGGAGGAAACGCACCCTCAATCTCTGATGGTATAGCGGTTAACGTGTTTGTTCTGTAAAGTTGTAGAGGTCGTGTCGAGTTTTCGATGACTATCGACGCGCATCCAGTGAAGACGAATATGCTCTGCTTCATGATTAGGTGCGTTCATTAAGGTGACACATTAGGCGGGGGGGGGGGGGGGGGGGGGGGGATGGGGGAGGAAGTTAGGAGATCTTCTGTTCACATCGGTTGAGTGGACACGTAGAGAGAGCAGGTTTGTCTTGTCTTATTTGAGTAAAAGCGAGCATCGAAAAGTCTTGTCTTCATCATCAAGGTGCCAATTGCTTTGTAATTTCACGTCAAAAGCACAAATTCATCTATGTTTTTCATTAAATTCGATTGTTGCATGTTTTATATAGTCTCAGTGTATTTTGGTTTGCTTTGACGTTCGGCAATTCGCTTGACAAACAAAATGAATCGGCAGTGGTGAGGCCTTCAAATCATATTTGACAATCAAATAAAGGGTATTTGTGATTACTTTGACAGTCATTTCAGCAAAAAGAAATAGAGCTTGATGAATTTAAGAAAATTTTTATGACAAGTAAGGAAATCGATATGCTGTAAAAAGCATTATTTTAAATAACTGCAGTTAACGTCTATTTCAACCTCAATCTGGTTTCGGGCCCGGAACCTGGTGCGAGCTGTTTTTGCTGTATCTTTGGGAGGGTCTTAAAAACTGCTCTAGTTCTGTTTAACTCTGTAATTTTCATAGGTAACTCAACAAGTCGTAGCAAGTCCCGGCATTCATCCTCCAAGCGAGCTACAAGCAATGGACGCCATCGATCCACCTCCGGTCAACTCTCCTCTTCCTCATCACATCGCCAGCCCCAACAACAACAACAACAATCTCATCATAGTCAACCTCAACAGCAGAAGCATCCTCGAACTTCCCAGAGTCTTGCTCCCTCGCCTGTTAACTCCAAACACTTGTCTACTTCTCCTCAACCTCCTATCCCCTCGCAGAATGTGGCAAATGGGAGGAATGGAGTAGAGCTGCAGGAAGAAGAAGTGAGTACCATGGTGGTCGTCTGAATACTAGGGCTACTATAAAGATAGCTTTTCTGTTGCGAAAGTTCTTGAAATTTGACTCACCAGAAGGTAGGAGGAATTGGCTGAAGGACCTTACTGTAGAAGCCTAAGGGAAGAAGGAAATCGTGGAGATTTGTGTGTGATAGGATATCGGGGATTGTAGGGGTCTTTTCCAGGGGAAGATTTTATTTAAGTGTATATTTATAACAAATGGCAGGCGTTTTGATAGTTATCATTAGCCCCTTAGTTGACTTGGGGCTTCACAGAGGGGAGGAGGAGGTGCATCAAAGTGGGAAGAATTCAGGAGGATGAATGGAAGAGTGATTCACGGATGTAAAAGAAACAGACAGACACAAAGGCTCAGAAAGGGAAAGATGAGTACTGTGGTAGGGGTCGAATATGACATACAATGGGGGTGATGGTAGTTTGAAGTGAGAAGTCGACTGTCAGTTAATAGACTTTTTTTGCCGTATGAGTATACGTTGCCCAGGGTGCACCACGAGGAGGTAAGTCTCTCCCAAACCCCATTTAGGGGTATATAGAGTTCGGCTAAAAGGGGTTGGAGTAAAGACATTGTCATAAGTAAATTGAAAGGGGAGACGAGTGTTTTCGACCCGCCATTATTTAAGTCGTGACAAGAATTTTGATGGACATGCCTATTTATGCGTGGCGATGGCATAGAGCCGATTGTTAGCTTCTCCGTTAATTACTATGCTGTCTTATAGAAACGCTAATTCAGATCATAAGCATGGAAATTCAGTCGGTGAAACTTTCTTACTTAGGGGGTCTCAAGTGAGTAGAGCTATGCCTGACTTGTAAGTAGATGATCCTAAATGTAAATTACTTGGATTTTCGTGTCTTTGTTTCCACTTTAGCTCCAAATTGCCGAACTGTAGTTGGAAGATGATTGCGCGCTACTCTCTGCTCTCCCACTTTTACTCATTGCGCTTCATTCACTGGCTTTTTGTCAGCTTGTGGTTTTCTTTGACATTTTCTTACTCTGTCAATGTGTCCTCTCCCCCCCCC